CGGCTCTGGGAGCCCTCTCGGCCCTGCCCCAGCACCCCAGATCACCTCCAACCTCTACCTCAGTAACGCAGTGGCCACCAACAGCCACCTCCTGCTCTTCACCCACCGCATCAGCACCGTCATCAACGTCTCCCTGGAGGTGGTGAACACCCTCTGTCCCGATGTCGAGTACCTGCACGTCCCTGTGATGGATACCCCCACCACCTGCATCTCCAGCTGCTTCAACTCCATAGCAGGCTAAGATCCACAGCGTGGGGATGCGGGGGCTGGATGCTGCTGCACTGCGCTGCCGGGGTGAGCAGGTCCCCGCCATCTGCTTGGCCTATCTCCTGAAGCACCGCTCCATGTCCCTGGTGGGTGCCCATGCCTGGATCAAGTCCTGCCATCCCATCGTACAACCTAACAATGGCTTCTGGCAGCAGCTCATCCAATACGAGTACAAACCCTTCAGCGTCAACAGGCTCCGAATGATCAGCTCTCCGTCAGGGATGACAGCCGATGTTTATGAAAATGCAGTAAGAGTAATGCTCTGAGTACAAACGAGCTGTTGTGATCTCTTGGCAAGAAACCAAGGGAAAGCCAACGGCAGTTCTTCCAGATCCACTCTGGAGCGTTGAAAATAAACTCTTCTTGTCTAAGGAGGTTGGAGCATGAAGTCTCTGCCGCTAAAAGTACAGGGGATTAGCAATACAACAGCGAGTAGTGGGGTTTACTATAAATAAAATGAACACAGTTTAAACTATGCAATTAGTTTTCACACGTCATTTGTATCGGGGTCCTGACAGTAACTCTGAAACGGTCATGTGTTTAAAGAGTGTTGTTTTATTCCAGCACAAACTGTGCTTGTAATACAAGACAGAAACTAGCTGTGAGTCAGGATATTTGAAGTGTTACCAACGTTTGTTTTTCCTAACTAGGATATGGGTTTTGAGACAGCAACCCTAAGTCCAGTCATCTGCTGCATTCCAGAGACGGCAGGAAGAGCACAGACTCCAGCATCCCCGGTTGGGAGAGACCCAAGGATGTCCTGCTTTCCACCATCTGACCCCTTCTCTTCCACCACCTGATTGCCCCAACCCTTTTTCAGAAGGTGCTTTGGCCTCCCTTGGGAGATGATCCATGGTTATTTGGGTGAGATGCTTTGCTCCTATACATGCAAAATCTTAGATGCTGCCTTTGAGCTATTCCCATCCCAGTGGGCTGGGAAGTCAATAAGAGGAACCCTGCTGTCAGTTTGAATCATTGTGGCAAGGTCATCATCTCATTATAAACTAGAAGCCTGATCTGGGCACACTTGGGTGTCGCTCAGCAGCAAACCATGTATTAATTGTGGTTTATCACAGCATGAAGTTTTCAGCTCCAGCAACTCTGTCTTGAGTGGCAATAACAAACCTGTTTTGGGTGGGAGTAGGGGGCTCCGGGCTGGCATGTGTGTGTGAGGGGTCCCACAGGTCCTGGGTCAGCATGAGGGGATCCCACAGCCCCAGTTGGTGGGAGGGGTTGTAACGAGGTGGGTCTCTTTTCCCAAGTAACAAGTGATAGGACAAGACTAAACAGCCTCAGGTTGCACCAGGAGAGGTTTGGATGTTGGAGGAATTGGAAATTGGGAATAATTTCTTCATTGAAAGGGTTATCAAGCACCGGAGGGAAGTGGTTGAGTCACCATCGCTGGAGGTATTTAAAAGACATGTAGATGTGGCGCCTCAGGGACATGGTATAGTGGTGGACTTGGCAGTGTTAGGTTAATGGTTGGACTCGATGATCTTAAGGGTCTTTTACAACCTAAATGACTGTATGATTGTATATCCTACCAATGGCACTTTGGGAGTGCTCCTCCACGCTCACAAAGAGCAACCTGGCAAACTGGCTCTCTGCAGGTCTCAAAGCAGTTCAAGTGATAGCTGTGGTGGGTGACAAAAAGCCTTGCCTTCCTTTGAGTGTACTGCTTTTCTCCCAAGGCACCTTCTAGAAGCAGAGCAAAGACTCGACTCCTCATGGACGTGTAAGAGGTTCCTCTTAGAAAACAGAAACGTTAAAGGAAAGGGACAGATCAAGTTGGTTGGGTGCATGGGTATCACAGAGAACATCGGAGACATGGCAGACCTCTTGGAGGAGCCCTGCGTGCTGTGTGACCACCTGGGGCCTTGATGCTTCTCGGACTGGATCTCTGACCAGACAAGGGTGCAGTTGGTGACTGTAGAGTCATCCCCACCCCTCTCTATTCAAGCTTTGCAGTTGAACACC